ATATTGGTTTATATGTGCATATAAAACAATATATATACTGACCCACCCACCCACTATATATACACACACCTGATAAAATACTTTTACCTATATGTATGGTAAATATATTTTATTTAAATATATATTTACATGTGCAAGCCCTCTCTGGCATACATTTCCACTTCTCAGCTATTGAAAAAATCCCTTGATCACTATTTCCTTGGAATAAATCACTTCCTTTAAAGCAGGAGGACTTGAGTTTGCTAAGGCAAAGGAAGTTTGCACTGCTTCTTGCCTCTTATCCCCTGTGGTAGTCAACATCCTAAATCCCACTTGTTGCCTGGCACAAAATGCCCACAAGGCTGATGCATTTGGGAGCGCAGCTCAAGTGCTGAGCTCTGGCTGCATGCACAGGAGGGGAAGGGAAATGCTGGCTCTGCTTTGAATCCCAGTGACACCTGGGGTTAGTGTGGTGTGTGCCTGATGAAACTGAAACCTGGGGACAATTAATGAATGTATTATGATCCACTAGAAGCTACAGGAGATAATAAGCCACAAATTGGCCAAGATATAACAATCATGGTGCTTTCAAAAAAGTCACCTCTTTATTTGCTTCAGCCCCTCATGGCCCTAGCATGGCTGCTGCCTGCTGATGAGGATACATTTTGATGGTATTAAAATAAATAATAAAATACAATAATTAATCTGTCTTTCCCTTATGAGAGATTGATGCTAAACAAAAAAAATATGATCTTAGAGGAAAAGACCAGACTTCTCAAGGCAAAGAAGAATCAAACTGTAACTTCATTACAAAACTGTCTCTAAGAAAGCTTTTTTAGAGCTTTGTGAAGATTTTTCTGTGAGTGGGAGCTCCATGAAAAGGATCACAGAAAGGTTTGTGCTGCCATTGTGGCTGGCAGGTCCAGCAGCAAGACAGCTTTTGCAGACAGGAGAACTGTGTTTGAAAGGGAGCCCAACTGGGGGAGATCTGCAGAGGCTCAGGGGCTCCTGAGCTCAGCATTTTGGGGATTTTGAAGCTCAATGTCCCTCCCCAGCCCTGTAGCAACTGCTGTTCCACCCCAGCAATGGCAGGCCTGGGTCTGGGGAGTGCCTACAGAAACTCCTTCCCAGGATGGGAAACTGGAAACGTTCACAGCAGCACCACATGCATGCACCAAGGAAATGGTTTCTGGATCTGAAGCCATCTCCTAAGTGTATTTTCTGGATCAGGATTATGTTTCAGGCCCAGTCTAGCACTGTTTTCATGTAAACTAAACAGCAGAGGGGTTTGCTACCCTTGTAGGGAATTAATTAGATTTCAATTTGCATTTGATTTGACAGTGCTCTCATAATATACTAAAATCTTTGTAAATGACTTGTGAATCTTTTTAAGGCATTTATACTTCTGGAGTCCAAATCTCCATGATGTTATGTATTGATACTTGCCATCTTATGCAAAAAACTGACAACTTCTGTTAGTTTCAGACTAGAGCTTTCACTATTGAATGTCTCTTTGTTTCTTTCTTAGTCTAGTACAAGAAAAGGTCTCTAGAGAAGTGCTATGAAGAGCTAACTTGTCATTAGCAAAACACAAAGATGCAAGAAGCTTGTCCTTGCCTTCAAACAAAAATTACCTTGCATACACTATGGAAAGAGATCCAGGACCAAGACTAAAATTATTATTCATCAGCCACAGTAATTTGGAGCAGGGGAACTTCCAGCTGCGTTCAGAAGAGCTTAAATTTAAAGTTCCAGCATTGCACTAATTCAATTCATTTGGGCAGGATCAGTGGGCAGAAACCACACAAACATATAATTCACTTCCACAGGCTTTTGGATGCTTAGCACCACAAAAGAGCCTGAGGCAGAATTTGCAAAAACAGTGGTGTCATTATCAGTGTTACTTTACAGGTTTAACACCATGCATAATTGGGAAAAGGAAAAAAAAGCTTTCACAGCTAGGAAATCATATCACATATATTCTGAGTCTTGTTCTCATGCACTTTGCTACTTTCTCACTCAGAATACCCCAGAATACAAACAGAAACCTGCAGCATGTGTAGACCCATAAAGATGGGCAGTCTGGCCAGAATTAGAAAGGACTTATGTCTGTTGAGAAGGAAACAGTGTGCTAATGCTTTCTGAGCATTAATAAAAAAGACAGGAACAGAATCCTTCTAATGATTAGGTAGAAATTGATGCCTTTCTAAAGTGAGACACTGTCCTCTACTTGAAAAATTATGTGAATGTGAGGCTGAAATCTATCATGATTGATCGGCAAGGATGGGATTCAGCTTCATGGTGAGTAACCTAACTTAGGGGCTCAATTTTCTTCCTTAAAATACAGTCCTAATGGCATTTTTACAATGCAACAGAAATGTATGGTTGGCAGACATGATGGAGGATTTCATGTGAAATGTGAATAGTAGATAATGAAGAAGCAGCGTAACCAAAAATGTCTACAATAGCACAGGATGCAATTATTTAGGCAACCAGACTTCACTCTTAGCTTCCCTGCCAATACAGAGGTGCTGACACCCTGCTTTGCAGGCTGAGTCCCCCACACACAATGTGAAGCTGCAACAAGTGCCCATGTGTGATGTGCACACAGACACACACATAGAGCACACCGAAATACAACTGAAATACCACACACCTTAGCACCCTTTCAAAACATGATCAGCAGGCAGAGCTTTGCAGCACAAATTCCCATTTTAATAAAATCTTTTTTTTTTTTCCACACATGGGCACAAAATCCAGTGAAGTCACGAGTCTACCAGATAACCCCCTGATTTCATGGACATTTTTCTGGATAAAGTTTCCTTTTGTATTTTCAGGGGAAGAGGTTGCAAAGGAAGGAAAACAGGCTTGCTGCTAAGCAGCTGTACCTCACAGGCAAAAACACAAATCTCAAAAGGTTTCTGGCAGATTTCTCGGGAGTATGGCGATAAATAAGAAGTTCAGGTTTAAAGACGAATTCAACTAAAACTAATCAGCATATTTAAAAGAAATATTGAACAGCTGTTTTTCCCAGCTAATGTTCACCATATACAAGCTGCAGCTTTTGACATTGAGGTGAAATGGTGAAACTGACTGCTTTCCACAAATCTTACATCTGGGATATCAGGACACTGATATTTCAACTCAAAGCTGTCCCCTGCCTTCCTGCTCCACCCCATCGCTGCTCAGGAGCCCTTAAACAGCTCATCAGTGCCTGAATCAAAGTCCCTCATTCCCTGGCAGATCAGCAGGAATTTCTTGAGTTACGTCAATAGGTCAAAACTGTCTTCTGAGTGAGTCAGAAGGGACCTTGCTTTTCCCATTTCTATTGTTCCAGCAGCTTTCCTATCATTACCCACAATTGTCAAACAGTCCATGTCCTCTCTTTCAGAATCCTTACATTTTTACAGCTTACCTCCATTAAAAGTACTTTACAACTGCTTTTTGAGAGACCCTATATTCAAAATATTATTTTTACACGGCTTATGTTCAGGTTTGTGTGTATATTTTGTTGGTTTTTATTTCTTTATCTATAAATAATTTCTATTTCTAAATATGTATCTTAACTTTCTCCACCCAACAAAAAGTTGTTTTTGCTATTTTGGGCTACAGACTATGCTATTCAGAAGAAACAATCTACAGCATAATAAATTCCTTCAGAGTTCATTGGAATTATGCTGGCAAAGAATTACTGACTTACCCTTCCCCTCATTAGCATCCTTATGGTACAGTTAACTAATGCAATGTCTGGGCCAAATTCACTGGTAACTATTAAGGACTAGATCACCTTGAGCGCTCTGCATTTATGTGATTATAAACCCAGTGAAATTTAACGCTACTCAGAAATGAATCAAGCTCAAAATTTACACTGATTAAAGCTGAGTTACACTTCGTAGCCCTCTGACAAAGTTCTGGCTGAAATAAAATAGCATAAAGTAATAAATCATTTTCTACCTCCTGCATTTCCTTATTCCTGGGGAAGAAGGAGAACTGTGGTTTGGGTTTTTTCATTGTTGTTTTTTCTTCCTCCTAAGTCCCCAAAGCATTAATTAGCTGCTTATATTTTTCTCTACCAAGTAATAGATAGTGACGCAGTTTGTTAACCCAACCAGGTCATTTCTCCCAGAACTAAATTCCCTTGTTATTAATATACACTTTCCATGGGATTACAGCTACTGCATTACCTTCTAAACCATTGCCACAATATCTCAGCAGGAATTTCCCCAGATAATTTCCTATCTTACCCACAGATTTGTTTTTTGAAAGATTATCACTTTTGCAGATTTGTACACTCCTCTGGTTTTGCTGAATGGTAGCCAGCTTTGCTCTAAATTCTGAGAATTGTCAAGCATCCTAACATACATTCATTCTCACCCTCATTCTCCAGAGAGATATCAAATTCTCTGGTTTTTTATTTTTGCAGTTATTCATTTTTCTTCTTCATCCATTTAATCTGTGCTCAAGGGTCAACTAGACCTAAATGAGATATTCCCTCCCTTTCTCACCCACACTCTTCTCTCTCTATTTACCTTTTTCACCTCTCTGCATGTAGAAGGCTCTAAATGTCATAAAATATTTTAGGGCTAATTGTGGGAGGTTAATGAATGATTTGATCTCTCTTCAGGATTTAAATTATATAAATGCAGGAAGAATTCACAGTGTAGTAAAACCCTTTGAAATCTGTTCCACTAAAACTAACTCACTGTGCAACTTGGCCAAAATGTTTAGTACTTGTTCCAATATGAACTGAAAACAGCAGGAATATTGCCTCTTTTAAGGAATAGAAAGCAAACATGTACACTTGCACACTAAGTGTCTCTGTGTGATTTTGATTCATGGAAAAATTCTCACTGATATACTTGCATTTGAACCAATATTCTAAGCCATTATAAAATGAAAATTCAGATTTGGGTCATCAAGATTGGTTTCAAGGTTTTATGGATTAGTGTTTCTGAAGCCACTTGGAAGAGAAAGGTTTATAGAAAACAAACGTAAATCTGGAGAATAATAAGAATCCTGGATGCAGTTTTAAAGGAAAAGCAGCGATTTATTTGCATATATAAAATTTGCAGAAATGTGAAGATTTTGTCAACATTTCCATGAGTAAGTTATTCAAAATCTTCTACACAATATGCAATATGCCATATTAATGAGGCTAGAAAGGGGTGCTCAGATGTATGGTATGCATCAATGGAGAAAAGGTGAGACTGTTTGCAACTATGTGAAAGGAAAACAAACCCCTTCTCAAAAACACTGTGCATTTTCTTCACAATAAGTTGTCAAAAATATTATTCAGCTGCTCCTTTGGGATAAAAAGGCCCGTTGCAATGCCAGCCTTTTCAGGGGACAAAGCTGCATAATTTTGCCCATTACTCTGGCAAAGCGCTGGCTGAATTTCTTTCTCACATTAAAGCAAAGCTGTTTGCCTCCATCTACAGCTCTGAGGTCTTTGTGGTGAAGTTTCTAGGAAAATGCTAAGTCGTATCTATGAAAAATTGCATAAATTCCACACATCCCCCTACACCTGACATTTTTCTCCTACACCTGACATTTTTCTCCTTTTCTGCTATTTGTTCCGTCACAACAAATGCCCAGCCTGTGCTGTGTAATGGAGTAACTGGATATGGGACATTTAGCTTACTAGACCTCTGCAGTGCAGAAATGGAATGAAAAAAAAATCCAAGCTAGCTTAAAATCCTTTCAGCACTACAGCATTGGTGGCAGAGCTTTGGACAAAGTGTGGGGACCAGGCCATCAAAGGCAGCAGACTTTTACTGCCCTTCCCTTAAAGCAGACAATGCTGACAGGTAGAAAACGCTTCCTGTGTTTTTTTAGTGCCAGGCAGGCACTTCCCTGGCACTCAGCACAGCATCGTCCCATGTGTCTTGTTGCAGGATAGCTGTGATCAAAGCACAGGGAGAGGTGCAGCTTCTTCAGCGTTGATTCGCACCACCATCACCACCACCAGTCCTAATTTAATGTCCTTTTGCTGTTGCCACCCTCCAAAGACCATCTCCACCTTCTGTCCTGTGCAGAGCTCTCCTGCAGGAGCTGGAGGGGTGCCTTGACCAGAAAGGGAGGAAACACCACTGTGAGAGGAGGAAACAGCACTGTGGAGCTTCAGGGGAGGTCCCATCATCCAGGTGAATCTTCCTCTAAGGTTTCTGAACCCCAAAGAAAAGACAAACATTGCCAGTCTTCCAAGAGCCATCGGGGATCTCTGTATTGAGAGAGAAATAAAATGAGTCAAATATTTCCAGGTGTATTGAAAAAAAAATAAATAAAAAGGTTCTCTTTCTCTCTGTTGTAAGAAATTACGGGTCATCGTGTTACCATGGTTTTACTTTAGGACAGTTATGTCTCAGCTGTTATCCTTTATCAATTGAGGCAGAAATAATTCACTTTTTTCCCGAGCGTGCAGATTGCACATTCCCAAGCGCCATCTACTGGTGTTCCACCTGGGAGCCGCCTCCAAGCACACGAGCATCCTTCGTTCTGGCATTTGGCAGGGCACGGATTCAACAAATTCATGTTCCTTCCAGTTTCCAGAAAGCACAGAGAAAGTGTGAGGTAGGAAAAAAGAACTCCTGCTCTGGGCTGCTCAAAGAGAGCTGCTAGAACCAGCTCCAGGAAAAGCTTAATCCTGGATTTCATTAGATGAGAACAGATCATTCAATCTGAACATTCAAAGCCATGCAAAACTGGACCTCGTTTGTTCTTCTTCTGGTGAAACTTTGTGCTTTGATTTCTTCACTCATGTAAGGAAAAGTCTTCAAAGAAAATATTACAGTAAACCCAGGTTTTTTAGATTATATGACTAAATCCCAGAGTTTTCAAAATTATTTTCTACAAAAGTTCTCTAAATAATGTATTTTTCTCAAGACAGTGGAGCAAAACACCCTTGTTAATTCACTCTGTAACTTTCTATCATTAGAGAGTTCATTAGCAAAACTAATTAAAAATATATATTTTATTCAATTTTACTAAGTGCTGTTTATTTTGCATATTTTCTTTCCTAATTATCTTCCCTCCCATTTTATAGTTAGTTTTAGAAAAAAAATCTTTTATTCTTTTCTGTCAAAACTTTGTTGAATTTCAAGCAAATTTGCTAAAATATTTGATACCTAAGCAAAGGATGACTACTTACTGTGAAAAGTGTGGACTTAAAAATATCTTCAAGGCAACTTTGAATATTCTCAGTTCTGAAGAAGTTCTTTGAAGATATCATCCTAGCTCTCTCACCTGGAGGCTTTCATACCCTGCAGTAGCTCAGAGCATCTACTAAAGTATTCAGAGCGTCAGTGGCACTTGCCTTAGAAGCCATTATGGTAATGCATTCCTGATTCCTGAAGACAAAGTGTTCCTGCATGACAGGACTGACCCACAGGGGATGTGTTTGTGGTGTTGGCCACCACTAACAATTCATAATGGCCCTGGTGGGCAACATTCAGAATGTTTGTACACCCACTGTTCCCACATATGGATCAGAGGACCAAAAATATTACACATTTCCATCTCCCCTCAGTTATAATCAACCTGAAAGTAGTTTAAAATAAAAAGGTATAACCCCCTGCCCAGTAGTCAAAATATCTACAGGCACTGTCTGCAAAATTTGGTTTGAACATTCCTTTGTAAATTCTCACCCAACAAGTCAGACGTATACCAAAAAAGATGGGGTGCTTTTCAAATCATGTTAAAGAAATTAAGACTTGAAATAAGCATGGCACTACATTCTTTGTTACAAACTCCTCAATTTTTATGAGCTTTCTATGCAGAAACCTTCCCCTACTCAAGAAATCAAATATCTGCAAAACTGTCTGTACAAATCTCAAAAGAGGATTTTTGCACTTGTAATGGTCCTGATCTGTAACAAATTGATGTAATTTCCCATGAAGGAAAAGAGTAAATCACAAATCAGGAAAAAGTGCCTCAAATAGCAGACTCAGGAACCAATCCCTCCATCAAGGAAATAGACCTTAGCACAAGTCAGCACCAAAAGTTAAGCAGCAGACCTCCACAGCACCCTGCCCAAATCCAAGACCCCATGTGCTTTGTTACTTGTGAGAAATTCCAGCTACTGCTTAAAAAAAAAAGCAGCCAACAGAATCTAGCAATGTGGCCTTTGGGCCCTTGAAATGAATGCTAATCCTCCCTTACACCCTGAGCCAGAGGAGGGCTGGACTGTGGCTGACAAACTGCCCAGTTTAGGATTCAAGACAGACTGGGTCATGGCCCAGGCTTATCAGAAGTGTGGCATCTTTCTGCAGACAGATTAGAGATTTTCTGGCATTTGGTTTGGCTTTTGTAAAGCATTTGCTGGCTGTCCCATTTTGATCCATCTATTGGGGGCAGAAGATTGCTTTTATATTGTGCAAAGATGGTGCCACTCATGGAGAACCCAGCCTTATATAGCAATTCCAAACAATAAGTCACCATTTCAAAGGAACTTCCTGTAATATTTCTGTGCTACTCAAACTGGCTGCTTCCCATTCCCTGGGCTCCAAACAAAAATAGTTACCACAGCATCCCTCAGTACCCCAGTTATGCTCCCATATATTAATTATAATGAAAATGACCTTTTAATATTGATAATCTCCATCTTTGTTCAGACACATTTCCTTACATACTCGAGGTTAGTAAGATGCACACAAATGAGCTAGATTAAGGTTAATTTTCTTCTGTTTACTCATTGATCCTAAAATACAGGACATAAGAAAAAGGAAGGAATAATTTCAAATGCAACCATTCCACTGAGAACTCAGTGGATACTTTTAAAATTATTATTAATGCTTCCCCCCCACACACAGAGTGTAGTGCAGACAAGTTATCACCAATGAAGAATTACAAAAACACATCTGTGCAGCAAAGGTCAGATAAGATTAAAAGAGCTAGTCCTATTTAGGTATTTTGTAATACAGGATTCCAGGTCCCAGGGAAGCTAGGATGAAACTGTTGAGCCTCAGAGACCTCATACTTCAGCTTACCTAAAAATATCAGGAAAAAGCCAAGACCTTTGCAAGCCATCAGGGATTTGTTTTCTTTCTCAGCTGACTACTAGAGGAAGCTTCCTCTGGAATAATCAATGCACTCTACCCCTAGCAGAATTTGTACCAGGTGGCAGTCAAACACGCTGAAAGTGTGGTCAACACCTGAGGTAAATGTCACTGGTTCCCCTGAGACTGAGAGTTCAAGTCTTTAATACAAGTAGTTTAGTATTTTTATGCAAAGAAAACCCATTACTTTATCTAAAACCAGCCAAGCCCCCTCTTACAGAGAACCTTAAACCATCAGCCACTTCTCAGAGAGGATGCCAATAGCAAACATCTTTTGTAAATGCCTAATTCAAGAATGAATTATCTGTATGTACATGAAGAATGCAGTCTTTTCTAATTAAGTACTCTATTTAAAAAAAAATAAGTATCTTTGCTGCTGTTAGGTCTGGTTTGGCTCAATTTTGCTGTTGTCTAATTGCCATTTCTACCTATGCTTCTACCTAGATTTGGTTTTCCTATTCCCAGTCACCCTCATATTACCACTTATCATCCACATTTGGAAGAATTGAAATGACATTTATTACCTTCTTCCTGCCAATGCAAGCATCTTGTGCTGCCTTACAAAAACAGTGGTCACCTTACTGCAGAATACAAATTCTATTGGATACATCAGTCACAGCACCTGTGTGGCTGAACCCAATTTATGAAACATTTATTAACTTATGGGCATTAACTAGTTGGGTCTGTTTGAAACAATAGGGAAACAGGTTTGTTTAATTTGGTTTGTTTAATTTGGTTTGGTTCAGGGTTTTTCTCTGCTTATTTTAAATAACCTGGCCTGGAGATTATTGCAATTGACAGTTTGGACATTAAGAGAGCTGTTTGGGAATGCTGCAGTGTGCCAGAGTGTGGTATGGAGCACAGGCTCAGCAGTTAGATAAAACACGACGTGCTTTTTACCTGCATGTGTGTGTACATACATATATATAACATTTTTTCTGTAGTAACATAGTTTAGTATATTGTAGCAATTAGCAATTCCTCTCTGCATACAGAATCCCAGAATCAATTAGCTTATAAAAGATCTCTCAGATCATAGTCCAGCCTATGACCAAACACCACCATGTCAACCCCACCATGGCACTGAGTGCCATGTTCAGTCTTTCCCTAAACACCTCCAGGGGCAGTGGCTCCACCACCTCCCTGGGCACCCCATTCCAATGTCTAACCACCCTTTCAGTGAAGAAATTCTTCCTGATCTCCTCCAAACCTCACCTGGCCCACTTGAGGCTGTGTTCTCCTCATCCCTGGTTTCCTGGAGAAGAGTCCAACCTCCACGTGGCTACAGCCCCCTATCAGGGAGTTGTAGAAAGTGATAAGATCTGCCCTTGAGCCTCCTTTTCTCCAGGCTAAACACCCCCAGCTCCCCCAGCTGATCCTCACTGTCTTCCAGACCCTTCACCAGCCTTGTTTCCCTTCTCTGGACACATTCCAACATCTCAACATTCTTCCTAAACTGAGGGGCTGAGAACTGGACACAGGACTCAAGGTTCAGCCTACCCAGTGCTGAGTACAGGAGAAGAATCCCTTCCTTCCTCCTGCTGGCCACACTGTCTCCCAAAAGCCTTGTTTTCCTGATTTTCCTGACAGACACAAATGGTTGTGATTAGCTGCACTATTGGCCCTGTTGTGCTTGGCCTCCATGCAAAAGTGTTTTCTCCACAAGTCTCACAGCTGTCAGCCATTTCAGGACCCAGTTAATGCCACTCACCCTTCTTTCATCAGAGGGAAACCCAGCCCATGTACTCACAACATACTGGCCATGTCATAAAAGAAACTGATGTCTGTAACTCCTTGCCCTCCCCTGTGATATTTTGCTCGTGTCCCCACACACCTCTTCAGGTCCATCCTCTGTGTTAGCTCTTATTCCAGTGAAGTCCCTCTTTAAAATTCTGAGCAATTCTCAACTAATGTTCCTGCTCGTTAACCCCTGTAAGCCTTAATGAGCTTAACTTCTACTTGTCCTTATTCATTTAATACATAGACTATCACCAATTTTCAGAACAGTCTGGATATTTGTTAGGTTTTTTTAATTAGCAGCAGCTAATTGAAAAGACAGTTTCTGGATAAAAAAGAAAGTGACTGTTAAAGCAAATGCATGGGAATGCTGTGTTGTACAAAGTTAGCAGCAGAAATGGAAAAACTCACAATGGCCTGGTGAGAATGCAGTGCTTTTACAAGCTATATAAAGCTATATAAATATGGTTGTGTGTATATATGCATACTTACACCAGCCCACATAATTCAGCCACCTGTGTCAGCTGGGCAGGTGGGAAATCCTCTCTTACCTGCAGACCATCTCCATCACCTCCATCTGAGTGCCCATGAGTGTTTAATGAAAGGAAGTACTCTCTTCCCTGCAGACCATCTTCACCACCTCCATCTGAGTGCCCATGAGTGTTTAATGAAGGTGAATGTTGCCCAAGGATGATTTCAGCCACCACAGAGATGATTGCAGCCACCTTTGGGGCAGAAGAAAACTGTCACTTAGTAGCATATAGTAAATATTTCAAGGGTCAAGAAAACAACACAAAACCTAAACAGGATGCAGCATTTGAATGAAGTTATGGGAAGATGGGACAAGCAGATGGCCTGGACTGGGATCAGGACAAGCGACCTAAGCTAGCTGTCAACATGGATAAGACACAGTGCTAAGGTCTGTGGCCAGACAGCACTGGTGACATTCACTGGGTCCCTCAGGAGCCAGCAGACAGCAACTGAAAGATTTCTTCATTTTTTTAACAGATAACCTTTATCCAGGTGCTGGCCATGGCTCAGTCCTGCTGCTCAGTCCTTTCAATAAACAGCTGAGCATTCCCAGATTGCAGGGACTGCCTTTGGTGCATTGACAGATATCTCTCAGGCAATTATGAAAACTACTTTATACTTATAAGTCGAGTATTATTTTTCTTAATTGTTATAAATGCCATTGTGGTTAAGAGACTATATCCAGATTCTTAAAATTATTTAAAAGTCTAATGCCAATTTAAGTCCCTAATCCATGCTGATTTCCCTGGGAATTAGAAAGTAAAATACCTTTAAGAAGTTGGGCTGTAGTTCTTGTAAGAAAATTAACATATACCCTCAAGAAAGATTATAAATTATTACATATGATATATTCAAAAGTCAGTGGGTTTAGAAGGCATTATGTTTTATAAGTGGCTCATTTATTTTAATATCTTGAAAACTTTTAAAGCAAGACACACTTTCTAAAATAATTATCTAGTTATTTCTTAGCCAGCTTCAGAGATCAGGAGAACACACACACTGGAAGATATATACATACCAATGTGCAAACAGCTGTTAATGCTATTTTGTATTTCAAGAGAAGTTTTAAAAAGTATGTACCCTTTCCAATACAGAAGGACTAAACTCATCTGTAAACTTCTCTAGCTGTGAGCATTAACTTTGGTAAACAGCATGTTTAGTATGAACTCCGGATACTATACAATATTATTGCAGTTCAAAATAACTCTGATGTTGTTGAATACATTCAACATAAAATCTGCTCATTTGCAGCAATAGACCAAACCACGTCATTTCAACATGATCATGGGGAAAAAAAAAAAATATCCTCTAGGACTATCAAACTAGGAAAAAATGTGGGTTTTTTCCTCTTTTTGAAGAAAAATTCAGTTTTCTGTAGAGTTTTCAACAGAAAAAGAAACAAATAATACAAGCCTAAAAGTTTGGCATCTGTTCTGTGAGCAGCAACTGATTGAGGTTTTTTGTGCACAGAATAACTTAGTGTTTCAATTACAGAACTCCTCAAGTTTTAAAAGCAGCTAAGTATCTACTTCTAGCAGCTGGGAAATAGCCTTCTGTGTGAAAATTGACTTTATTGTGTTAACTCAAGCAAGGGGAACAGACTCCCAAAGGGGGTCACACTCCCTTCTTCCTGGAAATTAAATGTGGACAGGTAAGAAAAAATTAGAGTATTGAGTTACTTATTTCTGTGGTCAAATTAGCTGGTTTTCTGCTGATTGTTTCTCTGGTATGAAGCCCACAAGTCAGAGGGAAAAGAAATATCAAAGCTAACCTATGGAAAGTTGAAATTCTTGCACTGATTTCCAGGCTTCAGGACAGCCTCTGGCCTTTGCTGCCTTTGGGAAGATGTAATGAAAACAATTTTTAAAAATTAATCATAAACTGATAATTTTTGATAACTGACTCCTACCAGGATGATAAACATTCCTGAAACAGATACCTGGCAGAAAGCAGAGCAGTGCCATGGGAATTGAGAATTTTCCCAATTATTTTCTTCTCCACTCTCTTTCCTGGTTGACAAACCTTCTCTCCCTTAGGCTTCCTGAGAACACGCTTGCAGTGCTTCAGCAGAGAAGATGGTTTTCTTTGCTCTTTGGCTTCATCTCCATTCCTGAAGATGTCCAGAGAGCAGAGAAGCTGGTGAAGGGTCTGGAGCACAGATTCCATGAGGAGCTGCTGAGAGATTGGAGTGTTTAGCCTGGAGAAAAAGAGGCTCAGATGAGATCTTATCACTTTCTGAAACCCCCTGAAAGGAGGTTGTAAAAAGAAATAGGACAAGAGGAAACAGCCTCAAGTTGCACCAGGGGACATTTAGATTGGATATGGGGAAAAATTTCTTCACTGAGAGGGTTTTCAAGCATGGGAACGGGATGCCCAGGGTAGTAGTTCAATCACCAACCCTGGATAGTTCTTATAAGGGAAAGAGGTGGGTAAGTGAATTTCATTTCACAAAAATACTTACTCTCTTCATTCAGGAAAAAATCTGTGAAATTCAGAATCCAAAACTCCAAAGTGAGGTGTGGTGAATCAGACCATGTCTTCACCTCAATCACAAAACTTTCAACTTGATATCCTTTTTGTCTGGGCTGAGTACTAAATGACAACCCTCTTTAGCAAAGCTAGCAATCTGCTGATCTTGATTTTCATTTAAAACCAAGAAATCATTTGTTTTCCTGAGTAGCTGTCATTCAGCATTCATTACACAGATCTTTCAGAAATGTTTCTTCACTCTTTTTCCTTACTAATGGATTTTAGGGCATTAGGTTTGACAAAAATTATGTAGGAGATAAACATTATCACATGTATGTTCAGAACATTCAAGGACCATTACGTCAGTTAAAGCACAAAACCTTGTTTTGAGAAACCAAATTACATGTTTCAAAACTTTTTTAGAAGGGTATGAAACAGTCTTAATATCCTTTTAGAAAAAACCTTCTACATTATTTTTTTTATCTGCACTATTGCAACCTTCCATTTACTGAAATTCAATTTTAATTAAAGCTTAGTATTTCAAAACTCAACATTAATTTGGTGATTTCAGTATACATGTGACATATCTTTTTGTCTTGGAAGCATGCTTTTCAGCCAGAAAACCATTTTCTTTTATTTTCATTGAATTATGCATGTTTCATTAAATTGCAGCAAACAGCAGTGCTCATAAGTTTCTTGTTTCCTTCTAAGAATATAGATGGTCAGTGTCTAATTTTGCCTTTGACTGATCTACCAAACGCATTACTGAGCTACTGCTTTAAGCATTTTCCCAGTATTCTGGCCAAATTTTATGTATTTTTAAGTGTCTTTCTTCACAAAGCCACAACAAATACAGGGCTCTTGTGCCCACAGCATTATTTATGAGGAATAAAAGCAGCCAGCTGGGAAGCATGTAGCCCAAAGCCAGAGTTTGAATTCATTATGAGACCTGCCCTAAGGTCTAAGTGTCTGAAGTTGCTCATTTGGACATTTCCCTCCATCAGAAATGTGGCCCACATGGACCCAGACAATGGGGTCAAAATTGTTGGAGCCAGTTCTCTTTTTCCTTGCGATTTTTTAAAGGAGGTTGACCAGCTGAGACTCCTTATGTAAGAGAGCAGAGGTCACCTTGAAAACTCTAGCAACCAAAGACCCCGTCTGGTCTGACATCCATGTTAAATTCCATCTTGAGTTGGACAGGTTCTGACAGGTCTGAAGCTCCAGCTGGATTATGTCAGCTTTTAAAGACACTGCTCTCACACCTCTTGTCTCACTGAGCAGCAAGAATTAGGTAAGAACAAAACAGGAGTAAAAAACTAGGGCATGATACTGGATAATCTAGCTAGTACCTTATTTGTTTTATCTGCCTGAGGTTGGAAAGTCCTGGGTAATGGCAGTCCAAACCAATTTTGACTGATAAAAATTAGTTCCAAAGTGGTAGTTAATGAGGGATGGATATGCAGAGCCAGGAGTTGGACTCAGTGATCTTCTTGGATCCCTTTCAACTCAGCATACTCTGTGATTCTGATACTTCTGTTGCTTCTAAGTCATTTGGGCACCCAAATATTTGAAGCTACTTTGATGTCCTCCAGTAGAAGACAGCAGCTAAACATATTAGAAAGCATAATTCTCATTTAACTACAAACGTAAGTACTGACCTATATGAATTTTTAGATCATGTTTATGCCATTCAATTGCATGACTTTTCTGAAGAGAACATATTTTCCCATTCAGAGTCACAGTTCATACAAACTGTTGCCTACCAACTAATTTATGGCTATGAAGATTTCAAGTGTTTAATTGGAAATATCTTCTCTTCTGCTGTCATTATATTACATTGATAGAAGAGCTTCATACCAAATGCTTTCCATGAAAACAATTTCTAAATCAAATTATTTTTAATGTTGTGAGTTTTTTGCACATGAATAAGTACCTCAATTGAGATGTATAAAACCAATTAGACCCCTATTTATCTCTGCTTGGCAACTTGGCTCCACTAATTTCTTTGGTCACTGTGTTTCACTTTGGAGCTTACTCTATTCATACATTCTGATGATTGAATTACTCAACATTCATTTTAGAATGCATTTATTTAGTAGTGCCCTTTCCAAACCACTTCCTTTTTGTCTGATCCTGAAAGTCCTGGAAAATTCCTTCACAAATATTATAATGTCATAAAAAAGATGCATTAGTTACCCTCCATGTGCTTGCATAACAAAAATTCTGAGCAATAAATAATGAATAATTGACAGAAAGAAAAATTATTGGTTTTTTCCCATTGTCATATTAAAACTTATGTTGAGTGGAACATTTAATCACTAGCATAAATAAACCTGGCTGTTTGGCTTTTTCCTGCCCCCTCCCCACCTTGTCCCAGAAATGGTGACCATTTTCAACTTAAATTTCACTTTCTCCATGCACTTTCACTTAAGCTTAGCTGCTCTTTTATATCATATGGATAAATCCCACAATGACTCACTCTGCTGGCCAGAGGGGCATGTTCTTCATTAGATAGCCCATTTATATATATATATATATATATATATATACATATATATATATACATATATATAATACATAAATCCAAAGAAGCAGGATGTCCTTTCAACGCTGCAACAATTCAGTTAAAGACATTACTGATGTTCAGAGTTTAAAAGTCTAGAAGGATATAGTATCATAAGGCTGGCAGGATGCTGAGAGGCAATCTTAAGGATAAAATGGATCTATATCATGACCAGCAGATGTTAATGCTCATTTTTGACAACATAAACTATTTTGTTCCATATGATCCATGAGAGTAATTGTTAGGATTCTTCCCAAGGTCTATCCCATCAAGCTGCATTTTGAGCCAATAACTTCTTAGGCTGCTTCTCCAGAAAGATGTACAATGGGTTATTTTGATTTTCATGTACATTTTATATCCATATCTACATCTGTCTATATATCTATGCATATATATGTATATATTTACATGCAAGTATTCTGCTTTGCATAGATTGTAGGCATATAATTTATATACATAAATGTATTAAATAGGCATCTATAAATCTAGTATCTATCAAATATATATTATTTATACATATATATTACATAGATATTATTTTTATGTATTACATTATTATATCCTATGAAATGTACATATACATTATTGATTAATTATTTTAATTTTATTTATTCAAAGTTCTTTCTTTCTTTCTTTCTTTCTTTCTTTCTTTCTTTCTTTCTTTCTTTCTTTCTTTCTTTCTTTCTTTCTTTCTTTCTTTCTTTCTTTCTTT